TTTTACATTGATGATAAAATGTTATCATAACAAAATAACAGCACTCTACATTGGGAAAGTGGCAGACTGTTTTTTTGTATTACAGATGATCCTCACTTACCGACCAGGTTCCGATCTTACGACTCAGCCGTATAATGAATTGGACAGTAAGTGAGGATGCACTAGAGAGCATGTGCTAGAGGGAAGGTCTATGTCGAGGGTAATTCCCTGAACATAGACCATCTCACTAGCGCAGGAAATCCATCAAATCTATGTTCGAGGAAAATTCCCTGAGCATAGACTAGCTCACCAGAGCAAGGAATCCCTCAAACGTAATCTCAGCGCTTCAGAGCAGGCCGTAACTCTGAGCCGTTGTTTTGCAGGTAAGTTGCAAAGTGAAGACTACCTGTATTACATTTCACTAATGAGTCTTTAAGAATCAATATTTGTATAGAGAGACTCATCCATTCTTTTGAGACATGTGAATGTCTGTGTGACAGAGAATAGAAACAATAAATGAATAGTCAACAAGAACACAATTCTTTCCCTGATCAACTACATGGATATATTTGCCTTCCAGTTCTATATTACTTCTTTAAATAACTTGTTAAAATATGTTTCAGAAAGGTTTATGGACATTTATTTTAATTCAATAGTCATCAAAAACATGGCTGGTAGCTAGAGTCTTACCTTGAACCTTGCAATTTTGCCATAATCGATAAGGCATGAGTCCAGTCATAGTTTTTAGACTCCTTATGCTTCCATTTCACTAGTTCCTTCACACAGAGATCACTAGATTCTAAAATAGTGATGTCTCTGAAAAACTCAAAAATAGGCAATAGATGGTGAATGTTACAGCCAGCAGAAATATCAATCAAATAGTCTCCTTGAATTTGACCTGCGTAGAAAAATAACCAAGATTAAAAAAAACAAAGCCAAAAAAAAGCTATTCGTTGTTTATAATCTACAACTACACACTTGTTTCACACATAACCTGATTGGGGGGCATCCTGGAAGCTAACACTTATAGACAAGCTGGAGGTTTTTATCCCTTATTTACTCGTATGATTGCTACCACAGACCTGTTGATGCTCATTACGTTAATTTTCGCCCTGCTACTTGCTGACTGGCTGTGCATAGTGCTTATACTATTACACAAAACATGTATTACCTGTGGTGTACTAAGCTACTCTTTTCTTTTTAACGCATTGTTTTACTATGATGTCCTGAAATGCCTGTATGTTAGTCTATGCACTGCAATATTTTTTTTAAAATATATATATAAAAAAAAAACTACACATTCTCATTGGTAATATATATATATATATATATATATATATATATTACCAATGAGAATGTGTAGTTTTTTTTTTTTAATGTATTAATATATGTAACATAGCATACCTTGTCCTGCCACTTTATAAAGCTGTTCCATTGGAAACCTCACAGTCTCTTCAGTGATATATTTTTCACTTGTTTCAGAATAATATGCATTAAACTTGTCTGTTGGTTCCCATTCATGTAGATGATAGCGTTTGTGAGAGCTGGGGTCCATTCTGAATGCCTGTGGTGTTGAATGATGATAATGTCACCAGCAAGCTGTTATATACTTTGTTAATTAACATTATCAATTAGTGGATGCTGTTGACTAACTGACATGAGACTTTTCAAGAGTCAGTGCAAGTCAATGTCAACACGGTTATTTATTACTATGTGTTCATGATTTCAGCTGACCAAATCATTTATTTTTTAAGTAATCACTCAGATAAACTCTTTAATATTACACTGTTCACTTAGAGGGTTATTTACTAAACAGTAAAATGTGACCAACTTACAATAGAAATGTAACATTTGATCCAAAATACCCTACATTTTGTAATTCCCTTGTCAATACATGATGATTTCAGTAAGTCATTTGGGGCCTTCTTTATCAATACAGCATTGGGGAAAGATTGAAATCCAACCTAACCTTCAGGGGAATGAAGAATGCAGCACAGAATTGTCAGACACTTTCTACCGTGCCCCAAAAATATCCAGCTATCTTATGTGTGCCCCTTGATTTTCAAGTCACAGCAGAAAGTCAAGAAGTGTATCTCTCTCTGCAAATAAAGAAAAAAACAATGAACAAATAAGCAAAGTCAAAAAAGTATACCCTAGTGGGGGTCGGCAACCATCATCACTCCAGATGTTGTGGACTACATCTCTCCTAATGCTTTGCCAGCATTATGCCTGTAAGAGCATTATGGTAAGTGTAGTCCACAGCATCCGGGGTTGCTTACCCCTGCTCTAGAGGGCTCATTTTGTTGGAAGCAAATTTTGTTGAAACCTGCAATAACAAGAGAACTCTGTGGTCGTGTAAATTCTAACAGACTTTATAAGATGTGAGAAATAATTACTTTTTGCACAGACTGTGGAACCTTTGGTAAAACTTGCAACTTATTTCCATATTGCCTTATTGTCCTATTGTTTAATACATTTTACTACAAATCTAAAGCCACTCTAAATACATTTTGAATCCAATAACTCAGGCATGAAGTTCAAAGGTATGCGTGCACACAAAGGTCAACAAGTACAAGTATATTTTAACCCATTCAGTGCTACATCCCATCGGTGGAAAAATAAAAATTCTAAAAATCTAAATCTTAGGAAAATCCATAACCCACTTTAGAATGGTTTTACCCCAACCCTGGTGACCCCCAGAGGTTTCTCCCTAACAGTGCATGGTTAGCTTATTGGCTGAGAGTGTCAGCTGATTGCTCTGAGACAATCAGCTAAGCCTGCACCAGTCTCCATTGATAGTAGTAGAGGAATTCACAGTAATTCAATGAATTGGAATTGTGGAAAGCAATTACCCATTGTAAACCAAATGAACCAAACTTGAAAAAATTACAAATTTGGCAAAATGTTACATCTCGGTTATTTTGGCCTAAAAGTGTCAATAAATTCAATACCTTGTCTATACTAAAATGTTTATTGCTGAACAAATGTAGTTTCTTTGCAACGGACTGCATTGAATTGAAATACTTTGCAAAGTGTAGACTATATTATTGCATTGTGACTATAGCAACATTTTTCAAAACAATAAAACACTTAAGTTTATCTTTAAATATTAAATAATTTAAAAACATGTATCCAAAAACATTAAATAATGGCCTTGGTTTTCAATTGTAAATGAACTGTTTACTGAAAAAACCCATGTGTTCTTGCATGTTCATATATTGCATGGCAAGGGGGCCCAGCATCCAAGTTTGCCTAGGGGTTAAAATTACTATAATACTATATCTGACCAGAGCTTTGATGTGAGTAAGTTTTTATGTGGAGAATGGTTGAGGATGTGGTCTATCTCACATATCGTACAGGTACTGCTCTACAAATAATCATGGTGTCTCCTACCACCCAAAGGGAGACTCCTACAGGAGGAAATCTTGGAAAAAAGATCAATGGACATTTGATGGAAAGTCAGGACACTTAAGTGTCTCTACTACAAGAAAGGCTTAACATAGGGGCTGATGGAGCTGCAGCTCCAGGCCCAGGCCCAAGCCCATGCCCATGGAATTGGCCCATTGATTTATTTAGAAAAAGTTTTTTTTCCCCCTGCACACTACTCTACTATAGTACTGTAACGGACCGTTTCAGCACACAAGGGGTTAAAACTGTTTAGGTGATTGTCCCCTTTCCGAGATGCAGGCACAGCTACCGTAGAACACCAAACTCCCGAACCACATGTAAGGGAATGCTCCAAAGTCCCAAAGTCCTGAACGGCATACAATATAGCACTCCAAACTCACGAACTGGAACCATACGAATAGCTGCTAGCAGACGAATAGGAAAAGCACCCAAGCAGCTTACACTCCTAGCAATCAGTCTCTATCAGCATTCAGTAAATCCCCCCAAAGATGAGACAAGGCTCCGTGTTGAGGGTCAAGCAGTGGTCTGTTTAATGAGGGCTACCTGCCCAGTATTTATGCAGGTCTCCCACCTGGTGGACACTCCCCTAGGGGACCAAATGGGAGACTGTAACAAAGGACAGATAAGTATCAATTTAGGACACACAGTCACATTTTATTCCCATAATGCATCCTGGCTTCCTCCCTTCTGCCCTGGAGATAATTGAGAAGTAATTCAATTATCTCCCAGGACAAAAGCAAATCGCCATTATGCACGTGGGGATACTAAAATAGGAATTACTGTTAAAATACACTATGTGACACAAGTTACAATGAATATATACATTCGACATGTCCCCAGATAGCTCAGGTCTGAGCGCACATTATTAAGCGAATGGCGCTCAGACCACACGAATACAGTTTAATTGCCATGGAGCCAAAGTCTTCACAAAGTCAGGTCTCATACGAATGAGCTCCATGGGATTCCTATCTGGGGTATAGTGCAGTCAGGTACGACTACTGAATACAGGGCCGTTCGTGCACTTCCACCGAACAAGAAGGGAGGTCGGCGGCTTCAGCTGTGTTCGTGCCAAACTGTGTCCATTTTTAGTTCCATGAGTTAGGCGTCGAACATCGCTGTGCGTTCGCATGTTTAAAATGGCCGCGACCACGTGTTCGGTATACGAATGGCGGCCACCCAGTATTCATCAATTAAGCTGCGGTTAACCACAGCTTCTGGGAGGCTAATTGCCGACACACTCCAGCTCCCAGGTGGTCTAGTCATTCGTGTGGTTGTTCGGTAGATTGAGTCTACCGAACACCGGGCAGAAAAGCACGAATAAGTCTTTTCTGCAGGGGAAACAAAGTCTTTTAACATGGGGCCATAATCCAAAGGCAACAGACGAGCAACCAGGCTTCTCCAATGCAATGTGGCGAGGCTGCTCTCGTCACAAGTACTACTTAGGGTTTCCACCTGGCTGGTATTTTATTGTCACAGCCAGTATTTGAGGCTGCCTGGCTGGTGCCGATATTTCAGTCATACTGGCAATACAAATGCTGGTATTTTCCTTAGTATAAACAGGGATTATAATACCAGCACTGGCCAGTAGGGGTCACTGTGTGTGGAGAGAGACTTGGGGACACTGGGACACTTAGGGACATTGGGAGACATGGGGACACAGAGACACATAGGGGCACAGCGTCCCCATGTCTCCCAGTGTCCATGTCTCCCAGCCAGTGGCCCTGGTGTCTCAGTGTCCCCATGTCTCCCAGTGCCCCCCATGTTCCCCAGCCAGTGTCTCTAGAGTCTGTGTCCCAGTCAGTGTCCCATAGTCCCCCAGTGTCCCCTTGTCTCCCGGTGTACCTGGTGTCTCTGTGTCCCCAATGACACGGGGACCCTGGGAGACATGGGAACATAGACACATGGGAATACTGTGGGAAACAGGGAGACATGGGGCATTGAGACACTGTGATAAACCCCCTTGCAAGCTTTATCCCTCTGGTGAAGCCACCCTCTCTGTCCTTGGATCCTTTGCCAGCTGTATAAAGTCTCTGACTCCAGATGCCACTTCGTTCTTACTCTGTGTGCAGGTTTAAATTGTTGAAGATTAATAAACATCTTACCTATGCAGTACTTCTTCATGCCTGCTTGTATTAGAGGACATTCAGAATGATTATAGTTAGAGCAGACTTCACTGCTCTATATTTGAGAGTGGTTTTTCATACATATGTTATCTTGCTGTGTGTAAAGCAATATCACACTATAGTTTTTTTGTCATTTTCCCCCCTGTATTTGATTCATCACTGAACTATTGTCCAATATACTTACCTGATTGGTAACATATTGTAAGTATATTCTGAAAAGTGTGTGGATGTGGCTATTACATAAATTGTAATCACACTTTATATTTACACTGCATAATTTTTTTTGCTCTATTGTAAGATTTTTGTGGATACTGTACATTTGCACTTGGAAAGTTCACTGTATAAGGATATTGATCTTTAAATGATATTGCACATTGCACTTTCAAAAGTTATCACAGTGATACATATTTTTTAAAATTTTTGTTCACTTAATGAGTGTTTGTTTTTGGGGTTTTGTCACTTTAAATGTGCAGCTTTGTTAGTAATTTAAGTAAAGTGTGTGTGTGTGTGTGTGTGTGTGTTTGTGTGTGTGTGTGTGTGTGTGTGCTATGAATATGTGTGTGTCAAGTCTGTGTGTATATATGTATATATGAATGTGGTTTTCTGTATATGAGTCTGTGTGTTTGTGTGTGTATATGATTGTGTTTGTATAGGAGTCTCTCTATGTATGCATTATTTGTGAGTTTGAGTCTGTGTGTATGTATCACCTACTTATTCCACAGTGCTTTACAACATCATCAGAAGTGATGATCTCAGCCAAATCACAATGCTTTTCCATAGTAAAGCATTGAATTGGCTGAGATCATCAATTCTGATAATCTCAGCCAAGAAGGCAGGACAAATAATGGTAATTGGTAATTTAGAATAATTAAAAGCACACGTTGTTCACCCTATATAAATTGTACTGTTTCACTGTGGTGTTAGCTTGAGAAAGATGTGGGATCAAAAGGATGCACTTTGCTCCGATAAACCTGCTGACAAGCTGCTCTGACACAGACGTTGGATCACAGGTTCGAATCCAGGCATGGGTAAGTATTCTAAACTGCACTATATGTACAGGTTTATGTTGTACCCTTGTGGTTTGAAGGTACAGGACCCTTAAAGGGATATCATCCTGGAACTCCTTAAAGGGATACTACCCTGGAACTCCTTCAAGGGACACCACCCTGGACCTCCTTAAAGGGATATCACCCTAAAAGGGATATCTCAATTTTAGGGATACTGCCCTGGTACCCCTTAAAGGGATATCACCCTTGGACTCAGACTAGCCGTTATTCAGTGCCCATATCAGGAAGGTGCGGTATAGCTACTTGTCAGCTTAAAGGGACCCCACCCTTGACCCTAGGACAGGGCGCAGGCTATGGCAGGACTCTATACCAGTACTGGAGACTTACAGGGATTACCCCTATTACCTCAGACTACATGTTAGAGCACAAATTGTGCTTTCTTCCAGGACATGTTCTAGCGGTCACATCCTATACTGCTGGACACCCGGGGTCATTCTATCAAATGTCTTCTCGGTCTCTAGTGCCATAAAGACTAATGGAACTTCCTGGAGATGGACTTGGTCTAATATTACCAATATTCTGAGTGTATTCGCTCGCTCTACCTAACATAAAGCCAGATTGGTTGGGATGAACTAATGCAGACATCACCAAATGTAATCTTTGTGCAAAGATTTTAGAATATATTTTTATATCCTGATTAATCAAGGATATTGGTCTGTAATTATTTACACATGTGGGATCTTTAGCCAACTTTAAAATTGGGAATATTGAAGCTTCCAGCACTTTATCAAATATATGAGTCAGCAGGTGTGATAGTATGGGATCTAAAACCCAATAGAATAATGCTAAAAACCCAACTGAACCTGGAGCATTCCCTCCCTTCATTTGTAGTATTGTTCGTGAGACCTCCTTAATCGAGAATGGTTGATTTAATTTTCAAAAATAATCTGATCACTTGTTTGGATTTCTTTACTTCAGGTAAATTATATAAAGATTCATAATAATATCTGAAGGCATTACCAATCTGAGAGGGAGAAAGACAAGTATTTTCAGTTATATTTAATTAATTTTATCCTATTCAAGTGTTTATACATTTTTTTTTTGTCAAAGTTCTGGTTGGTCTGTTATTGTTTATACATTTTTTTTTTGTCAAAGTTCTGGTTGGTCTGTTATTACTGTAGTACCATTGATGTTTTAATCTAGTTAAGGCTTTACCAGCTTTGTCCTTCATCTTAGATTTTATATTCACCTGGATTGATTTAATTTCATCCATTCTAGCTAGGGATGGATTTAATTTATTAAGTCTTTCCAAGTTTGCCAAAACAATATATAATTCTGCAAGATCTTTGCCTCAAGCCCGTTTCATCCAGGAACCTTTTTTAATGAGGTGGCCCCTTAAGAAGATTTTTTGAGAGCACCAAAGTGTTATTGATATGTCTGTTTCAATAAGGGTTTCATTTAGTCTCCAATTCATTCTCATTTTGTACTGAGAATTATTTTTTATAATAATGTGGATATGGGCATGATCAGACCATGTTATATTTCCTATTCTGGAATCTTTACAACCCACTAGTGCATTTCCATACATAAAAAATAAATCAATTCTGGAATAGGATCTATGTGCATTTCAATAAAAAGTAAAATCTTTATCTAAGGGGTGGTGTGTTCTCCTTACATAATATAAATTACATTTTGCAAGACAAAGGGAAAATGTATTAGCTTTAAACTTTTGAATGGCGTCGAATCATAGATTGTTCATACTTTTCCTATCTAAATCATAATTATCTATGCAATCTAAGTCTCCCCCAAATATTATTGTCCCCATAGCAAATTTCTCAGTTCTATTTATATTACAATTTAAAAATCTTATAGTATGTTTCGAAGGTGCATGGAGGTTAGCAAAGGTAAGCAGTATATTGTTAATTAGACAGACTAAGGCAATATATTTTTCCTCTTGATCCGATTCATGGTATATATGTTCAAATTTTAAATTGGCAGATAAGATCAAGGTGACCCCTTTTTTTTCTTTCCTTTTAGAGATGAAACAAATAAATGGGATATTTACTATATTTCCATGTATTAGGGTGGTTTTGTTCCCAATGGGTCTCCTGAATAAATGCAATATTAGTTTTTTCTTTTAACAATAAATCATACAAATAAGATCTCTTCTAGGGATAATTTAAACCATGTGAATTAATTGATATACGTTTAAGAGACATCAAAAGCAATATCATCCACTCTCATTCTCAAAAATCTCAAATCAAATAATAAAATGGAAAAGGCCTGCTGTGTACATAAAACAAACAATACATTACACATTTCAATCACAAAACCATCTCCCTCTTTTCTCCAGAAAGAGTTATACAGGATCTTCCTGAGGCACAAGGAAAATACATGTCCCATTCCACTAGGGCAACAATTAAGTAAGTCCAATAGAGCCCCAATGGAGAAGAGAGGAGGGGAGGAAATAAATAAATAAGTCAGAATAAATGCATATATAAAGAATTAAAACAAAGTTAGAATTTGTTTTGCTTCAATCTGGGATATCTATGATAACTTTAATTGTAGATTGTTAAATAAAACCGTTTTTAACTAGCATTACCCCTTTTTCCTCTTAGTTTTTCCCCCTTCGAGAATTAAATGGAAAATAAATAGCAGTTTTCTATTAGTCCTATCCAAATATATCTATAAGAAATTATTTATTATATTTAAATGTCTATAAACTAGACTTGTTAATCTTTCATACAATAACTCAGGTCTTATGTCATGGCAATTTAGTAAATAACATTCGCTAAAATTAGAGATTCAAGTTGGTGGTTGGAAATTATTAATAAAATAAGGTATCCCAAATTTTTACCAATAATAAACTTATAAATTAAGGTATCCTAAATTTTTATAAACAAAAAACTTAAAAAGAGTAGTTTATTTTAATTCGGATTTTTCCATTTCAGGGTATTGTGACTCTTCAAATATGGGTAATTTTTTCAACATTGCACATTTTGCTCCTTTTTTTAACACTTTTTTTCTAAGAGTAATTTTCTATTACTATTCCAAAAAAAAAAAAGAAAGAAAGGGAACAACTTTATCCAGATATGACTTTGATGACATAAATTACATAATATGTGATAATATGGTAAACAATAAAAAGTAGCTCAGCTTACTAATTAAAGCATAGAATACAGCAAATCGAAAGCCAAAGCTAATATAATTATTCTAATAACATGCAATCTTGAATTTTACACTTACTGAAACATTTTTATAACGTGATCTATCAAACTTACTTGTGAAAATATAATTTTATAGGCAATGTGTGCTTTGTGATTAGAAAATTACGTGTCTGTATCTAATAGAATTATAGATCATTCATATTATTATCAATCCATATCTAATTCATAAAGTGCAAAACAATTATTGACGATATAAGTCATAAGTGTTATTAGCAATTTCATTCTCCCTTTCTTTTCTTTTCTTCTCACTTTCCATTTTATTCTATCATCTATTGTTTAAAAATTGGTGTAATACTAAGTGTAAATATAGATTTTGGCATAATGTTTCTTCATTAATTATTAGCTGTGCATTTTAACAAATTTACCTTAGTGTAGTGATATATATTCATAGTTAGTTCTTATTTTAAACTATGTATATCATT